TTGTGTGGAATTCACCAGCAGCAAAAGAGTTGAGGCGGAGTGCGCCTCGGAGCTGTGGCGCTGGGGGAGAGGGTTGGTTGGGTGAGTAGACTCGGTGAATGGCAGATTGCCCTTGTTGCTCAAGTGCAGCAGGTGGGGGAACCCGTAGAACATGGAAGCTCAAAAAGATAAGTAGAGGCTCGACTTGCAAGCACTTTAGGGGCTGTGCTAGGACTCATGCCTGCCTGGGACTCTGTGTCGTCCGGGAAGCAAAGGACATGAAGGGAAAGCATCGGTATATATTGCCTTTCAGCCAACGCAACCAGCCAGCCTGGGTCTCCTAAGGAGGGGAGTGCCCTCTAGGGGCTCAGATGATTTCTGAGCGCTGTTCATCATTGTTGCTCAGGTGCTCAGATGCCCACTAAGCTGAATCCATACCTACACGAGAGAAAAAAAGACAGCTTCAGCAACCCACCCGGCTGCAGCTGTGATTACATTATGCAAGGATTTATTAATGTGGTGTCTTGATTGATCGTTATCTTAATACTGAGGATAACATTAGAAGCTTGATTTTTCCGGCAAATTGCACCTACAGGTTGCTTCTTGTTTGAAGTTACAAAGCCCTTAGCCCACGTATTGTATGATTATGTTCTATGAACTGTCCAGAATAGGCCGATCCATAGAGACAGAATAGAGATTCATGGTTGCAGAGTCCAGGGGGGAGGGAATGGGGAGTACAGGGCTTCTTTTTGAGGTGATGAAAATGTTCTAAAATTAGATAGTATGGTTGCACAACCCCATGAATATAAAAACCACTGAATTGCACTTTAAAGGAGTGAATTTTATGGTATGCTAATTATCTCAATAAAGGTGTTATTTTATTTATTTTTTTTATTATTTTTTTTATTTTTTTATTCTTATGTTAATCCCCATACATTACATCCTTAGTTTTAGATGTAGTGTTCCATGATTCATTGTTTGTGCATAACACCCAGTGCTCCATGCAGAACGTGCCCCCCTCAACACCCATCACCAGGCCAACCCATCCTCCCACCCCCCTCCCCTCTAGAACCCTCAGTTTGTTTTTCAGAGTCCATCGTCTCTCATGGTTCGTCTACCCCTCCGATTTCCCCCCCTTCATTCTTCCCCTCCTGCTACCTTCTTCTTCTTCTTTATTTTATTTATTTATTTAAAAAAAAAAAAAAAGCCCTTAGCCCTTCTGCTGTAGGTGTCCTGCAAATAGCTCTGCCTGAAGTAGCCTTTTTGAGTTCATGGTATAGAAATCTCAGTGTTTTGCTTCTCCCTTTCTCTTCTGTATTTTTGTTTAGTTACTATTATCCCTCTTTTATTCGTTTCCAGTTCTGTTGAATTTAAGAAATATTTATTAATGACTACGCATAGTAGATGCAAGGAGAGCTTGCGGTAATATTCGCGCTCACGTCATCACAAGCACAGTGAGAGGAACCTTAAGGGAAGTATGGGATCTGGCGGCTCCTAGAGAAGCCGTGATCTGAGGTTGGCCCACGAGGACGGATGGTAGCTGGACAGACAGCTGGATAAGGAGTGTTCAGGAGGGAGCAGGGGTGAGTGGTGCAAAGGCAGCCAGGGTGAGAGCTTATGTGGAGAGCAGAGGAGTGACCCGAGCGGAAGGAAAATGAAGAGAAAGACCACAGAGTAGAATTGGGGGGGAAGAGGCACATGGACTTGACAGTGTTGACTCCTAGGCTGAGCACCTGATCAGTTAAATGAGGAGCAGCTGAAGACTTTTGATGTCGGAAATACAGGAACTGGGCCATAGGATGGGTGTGAGGGGCAAGGAGAGACCCAGGGGAGGGGAGGCCAGGTGAGAACATGGAAATTGGGTCGGGGGGGGGGTCGATTTAGAAGTGAGGGTAAGTGTTGACATCGATGTCATGAGCATCTCTTTCTCATATGTCAGTCTGTTTCCTCTGCTGCTGCTCCACATGTTTTCTCCATTTTCTTGTTTGCTCTTTCTCTAGGCACTGGGGTAAAGGGCAGGAGGAAGACTGGGGAGAAGGGACAGAGAAAGAATAAAAATGAAGAGAAAAGGTAGTAAGGACAGAAGAACAGTTTGCATGTTTCAGTTGTTTTGTAATTCAGCATTTCCTCTTCATGATTCACTAGAAGAGAATCTAGTCTCTTCTAGTGGAAAATACAGGGCAGGAAACCTTATTTATTTTCAGGTCAGTTGTGGAGTCTGTGTGCCTCACTGTTCCCATCTGTAAAAGGGAAGAATAGCTACCTCCAGTGTAGGTAAACCAGGGAATCTACAGTAATCTTATTAAAGAATTTTTTAAAACTACACTGGACTCACATAATTTGTAGACATAATAAATTTCCGTGGCAGATAAGGGTCCTGGTGAGTCCCCCGTTCGTGAGAGAGTGAGTGTAAACCCACCTGTCGAAACATAATCCATGTGAGTTGTATTATGTGGAACTATAGGAAATTGCTCTTTGACTATTTTTGACCTACAAGAAAATGACAGTTTCCCTAAAGTTTCAACCTAATAGGTAGCTGCTTGATAGATACCTGCTCCATTTTTGGTTTTTGCCCAGGTTTTTGCCCTTTCTGGTTTCTTAGTAAGTTCCTTCTTTATTAAGGTGCTGATGGTCTTCAACACCTGTTCATCTTCGGTTCAGGGGAAGCTGTGAGAAGACAAAAGACAGCAAGAAGTGAGGAAGGGTTGCCAAGGGGCTAGTCCAGAAGGGGAAAGGAGCTGGGAGCCAACCAGCCAGCAAAAACAGGGACACCTGAATCCTCGGAACTTGCACATGTAGTCATTCTGGGTTTAGAAGCAAAAATTCTGCATCAAGGGTTTTCCTTTGCTGAGTGGGTTACTAGGCAGTTGTGCGCAGTTTCAGACCTTCTGTAACATACCGTAAACAACCTTTGTGAATCTCTACAAAAGCAAGGGAGAGATCTAAATGTTGAGAAACAGGTCAGATGTAAAAGGAGAAAAAAGAAGCCATACGGCAGACTCCGTTACAGTTTTCAGCTTGGTGGGGTTTCTGACAGCCTAGCAGACAGCCTGGCACATAAGTGCTCATACGTGTCCAGGACGGGTCACTGAAGGGCTGAAGGATATCTGAAGAGGTATTTTTTTGGTTCATTGTATACTCGCTGGTGTTTGATTTAGAATTATTCACTGAAACAGGGAGGAAGGTGGATCCCAGAAGATGTGCAAGCAAAGGTTAGTCAGCTCTTCTTGCAGGCTGCTTTCATTATAATCACATGCAGATAGCAGGATCAGGGCGTGGCCTCTCAATCCCCTAGCCCCATTGATCTGTAGAGACCAAAGAGTTGAAGTTGTACAAAGGATCAAGAATACACTTGATACATCATTACTGTAACATCACAGGGATAGGATTATCTGCCTAAAACTGCAGTGACAAGGCACATACAAAGGAAAGACTATGGGATAACCTTTGCAGGAACTAAAAACCCAGTTCATCTTTACCCAGCCCTGTAAGGTGATTGTCTTATGGGAATACAGATCTGCCCACATAGAAAAGGCAAATGTTTATCTCAAACCATAGGAAGAAACACCGGTTGCAGCAAAACCTTAATTATCTAACCCCCTCTTCTCCCAGGTGCCCAGCATAACCATCGCCCCACTGGGAAGAAGGCTGAAAGGGCCCACCTCGAGAGGGGTTGTTCACACCATTCCAGTGACTTGCATGGTCTTTGGTGCAAATTTTAATTGAAGTTTGTTTCCTTTTTTATTGTATGCTTAACTATAAATGTAACTAGATCTCTGGGCCTAATTATTGAGGTACTTGTGGACTACATGCATATTTTGTTAAACACCCAAAGAACAATAGGAGAACAAAACAATTAAGGGAGTGGGGAACAAAACCAAAATTAATGAGTGTGTTACCAGTTCTTCCCTGCTGGGAATGTTACCCTCCCCTGATCTTGACCTGCACTGTACCCAAATACCCACATACTTCCTGCAAGGATGTCTCTTTTTAGGATGCCTTGCTTTCACTCCTGTCAACCCAGGAACTCCTTGAGTCATCCTCTCCGCCCTCTGATCCCCACTTCCAGCCCGCCCCGGCTGGAGTCTAGCTGCTCCTTCCTTTTATTTCATTTATATCCTGACACCCTGCTGCCCTGAGCTTCTCATTTCCTGCCTAGTTCCTTGTAACAGATCATCAGCAGGCAGTTGACACATTTTGTTCTCCTCTCACGAATACCCACCACTCTGACTTTTCTCTGTTTAGGCTGGTTTCCCAGCAGAGTTGAAGTTAAGGAAGGGTGAGAGCCAGCAGAGCGAGCTTGCAGTTCAAGGAACACCTCGTTCATGCATGTAGAGATAAATGGACATGTAGTAGCTTAGAAGATGCCCCAAATTAAGACTTTCAGCTTTCACATAGCTGTCACAAAGTCCACTGACCGAAGATTGTGCCCTTGATAAAGAGCTCCTCGGTCTTCCATCAGAGTCTGTTTCTTCTGTGATACACAATTATAAATTAAGGTGGCTAAAGATGAGGGTCCTCCCAGACACAGTCACACTGGCAAATAGGGACTCAAAAGATACTTAGTAGCTGAAAGAAGGGTCAGAAGAATGTCTGAAAAACACCAAAAGGTCAACAGCAACAAAGCAGCAACACAGAGCACCCCTTCCACGTGAGCCCTTGCGAGCATCACTGGTTTATGGATAACACCATAATGTATGCACGTAAACACGGCCCCGCATCATCAAGAGAATGCAGGTTATGCTGGTCTGGTTAAGTAAGAAATGACATAATGCATTTTAGGAATATTTCTGTGAAAATGGTTAAAATTAAAAATACGGGTGTATATTAAGGAGATGAGCCTCCGTTATTGGGAATGCAAATTAATGTTAGCACCCACTCCCCATTTCCCCGTGACCCCAGATACCCAGGACAGCGTCCTACAGACAAGCTTGTGCCACAGCCCCTGCCACCTTGTGGGCTCCCGACTTCTATGTTGTTGTTTATTCATGGGGTTTTCCTTCCCTTTTCTTTGGTTTCAGATGCGAGTGTCTCTCTGGCTTATGTGGTTTCCCCGTGTGTGAGGTGGGATCCACTCCTCGCATAGTCTCTCGTGGAGATGGAACACCTGGAAAGTGCTGTGATGTCTTTGAATGTGTTAATGGTACGTGGGGTTTCTCTTGTTCTCAGAGAGTGTACATTCGTGCAGGAGGAGGGGAGGGTTCCATCTGGCCGCTTCTGCCTTTTGTAAGGCAGGGCATATACTCGGGGGCTCAGAGCAACTCCCTCAAGAAAGAAGGTTTGCTTGAGATCCCACAGTGCAGCAAAGGCAGTGAGGAAAGGGGACCCTCGTTCCATCCATCGGAAAGAGGATTTCGGAGGTGGAGGCCCGGATTTCATGTAGCTGTCATATTCTGCTGTGTTTCAGTAGTGCAAAAATGTTAGGATTTCACGAAAAGGATCATGGAGCCTGTAATCATCCTGCTGCTGCTGTCAGGAGCCAGTCTGTAGGACGAACACCACACCGAAGCTACCACAGCCTGAGACAGGAGAGGCATTGCTCGTCTAGTGGAGTATTTTCCTACTTAGAGAGCACGTCTTTGACCAGTGCTGGGTCCTTCATATTGGCCTGCTTTCGGCTTGAGCCTTGTGGCCCAGAAAAAGCATTCTTCAGTCACAAGATCCCTTCAAATAGAATCCGCCTGCCCCTCCCTTTCACCTTTCACAAGAGGGCTCAGTGTTTGGTGACATGGGGCTGATTGAATTTAGATGCTAGAAGGGAGAAGAACCTAAGACCTGTCCCTCCCTCAGAATTTTCAGAAGGAAAACAAAGGATAAAAGTCAAGCAAGTGAAATGTCAATAATTCTAGCCCTGTTGAGTCAATACCTAGACACAAGGAAAATGAAGATGCATTTGGACAAATCCAACAAAATCACACGTGCAGAAACCCCCATAGTAACTGCTACCTCTAAGACACCAGAGTTCAGAAGAATTTCTGCCCTCTCTCAAGCCTGCCCTCTTCCCCAAGAAAATTCAAATTGAGTCCTGTTTCATTGCGTCCCGTAGTTTTGAGTGCAGTGGCCGCCTGTCCTTTTGTTTTGCTTGGAGGAAACACTTGTGGTATGGCTTCGGGGTCGAGAGAACATAGACTGGAACCGAATGATCTCGCTTTGAGAATTGGTTCCTCTGCTTACCAGCTGTGTAACTTCGGGTGCCTCTTGGTCTCCCGGGGCCTCAGTTTCCACATCTGTCAAATGGAGTGAATAACAGTCACTTAGATGAGGTTTTATGTGGGAAGCAGTTACCGTGGTGCCTCAAGAGCAAATGGTCTTTATTTTGGGGTACCCGCCTCCTGTTCACATCCACAAACACGGTTCTGGATATTTCTGAGGGGATAGAGAAGGTGAGATGAGCTTCCTGACTCAGACCTCACGGATACAAGGCAAAGGGCAGAAGTCTGTGCTCAGTGCTTCTCCTCACCTATAGTCGTGTGTGTTAAACACCAGCAAATGGCCCAGCTTTTTCCCTGGTACCGCTGCAAGGTGTATTTGTAGGTGACATTCTGTGGGTATTTAACTCCTACCGCTTGAGACCAGTAGTCGCTGCGTCCCCTGTGCTCCCAGCATCTCAGATGCGCTTCCTTCCAGGACCCCTTACTCTGCCAGGTGCTCTCATGTCTGTGTCTAATTCTCACATCTGAACCGCCAGAGGGCAGAGAGTCTGTCCTTGTGTCTGTGGGTAGGAACATGTTGTCTGCCTCACAGAAGGCACCCAGGCTTTCTTGGGGGAGTGAGTGAGCAGATTCATGTCATCTTAGTTCCCTCTAGAGGTGGCTATTAAATACCAGCCCACAGAGGGGTTACTTTGTGGGAATCCTCCATCTTTTACTGTCCTTCCTGAAACATTAATCTTGAAAGTCATTTGTCCCCTGGAAATACCACGGCTAGTAATACAATTTGCTCTTATGTCCTCAGGGTGAGGAAGAGGAGTGCGTTTCTTCTTTCCTTGCATCTCGATTATAGAAATTCATTGTCATGCCCTTCTTATCAGGACATTGACTTCACATCTCACCCCGGCGTGGTGTAATTCAGACAGCTAAGGACTGCACCCCACCTCAGGGGCCTCAGATGAATCTTTGGGGCCTGCTCCCGTTTATAGCCTCACTTTTTATAGAGCTCTGAGTCCAGGAATAGGACTTGCCATCTGCCATGAGAAAATGCAGAGATGACAGAGCTGATACTCGCACTGTTTCTGGGGGTGCCTCTTTCTTGACACCACAAACTTGGGTCATCTTTGCTTTATTTATTGTCCTATTTAGTGTCTCTATTACTATCTTAGTCATTGAGTTGTAGACGAGACTAGAAACGTTAATGCTATGAAGATTCATAATCAAAGAATAACAATAATGTGTAAAGACATTCTATCTCCAAGTCTGTATTTTACTTCTTTTGAGATATACATACATACACACACATACGCACACACACACACATCTGTGTGCCTGGGAAAATCTTACTATTGTCGTAAGGTCATCGTTAGAGGGTATTACATATCAAAAACTCATTGTTATCACTTAGAAAGGCAGAGGTCTATATATTTATAAAGCTCTGCTTATCCACAAGAGATTTCAGGTAACTTTATAGCAAAAACAAGTAACAGAATGCTGAAATATTTATGAGAAAAGAGGGAACCATAGAGTGGTATGTAAAAGTTGAAAGTGAGAACCAAAAAGAAAGCGCCCACAGGTACGTAGGCTGTGTCTGTCTGTCTGTCTGTATAATTGCCAAGGCTAAACGTTAGCCAGGCCCCCGACCTCCTGGCCATCAAAGCGAAAAAAGAAGATAGAGTCAGATACGCAATTCTTATTTTTAGGGGAAGGAAGCCTCCTTGGAGGGGGCAGCTCTCTTCTCACCTGGAAATTTGAAAAGCTCTAGATGATGCAGTCGTTCTGTCCTGAGTTACTTTCATACCACCAGTCCAGACACAGGTTTCCGGTCTCAACAGAAAGCAGAAGCAAAATATTAAAGTGCAATTCCATGAAAGTAGTTCTCAGAGATCAGTGTGACATACAGCTGGAGCCTAGATGACTAGAGCATTGTCTCTTGGATTTTGAAAACTCCCAAAAATGTAGGAATAGCTCTAGAAGCCCCCCTCCCCTTCAGGAGACAGTGGGTTGAATGTTAACATAACTAACCTCACATGTAGGAATGGAGATAGCAGGCTAGCACTCAGTTCCTAAGCTGCCATTGAGGTGATGTGTGTGTGTGTGTGTGTGTGTGTGTGTGTGTTTTAAAACAAGCATTAAAGTGAAAACACAAGATGAAAAATGTTCACAGAGAATTTGAGAACCCCTGAGTTTTGAAAATATTAGCCTGGAGGAATAGATAGAATATTCTCCATAAATATTATTCTCTTTTCAGTTTGGTTTGGTTTGGTTTGGTTTTGGTGGTGGGACTGGAGAGCTGCAGACCAGATCGAGGCAGTTTGTGACTGCATTCTCTGATGAGAGCCAAAAGGAGGACCTATGAGGTATTGGCTGAAGGACAGGGCTGTTTAGAAACCAAAGGAACAGGTGGTATGATTGAGCTCCTTTTATGGAAACTTAGAAGTCATCAAGGTCATCAGCTGGAGGTATGACCTCCACAGCAGTAGTGAAGCAGTCTGGAGTCCCCTTCAGTACTGTGTCTGTTTGGGCCCACAAACAAAAGTTTCATCATCCGTCAGCTGGAACTGAGCAATGGCCTTTACTTTTAGATGGGCACATGTTCTCCATTTTGCTCTAATACACCCTTACACGAGCCCACCCTTCTCATTCCTGGAGGAGTTTAGATTTGAAATCTCAAGCATAGAATATGGAAGTGATCATTTGGTTGCTTTAGATATGTGATCAGTTGTGTATGTATATGTACAAACATCTGAGTAAAGCAGAACATCTTGGTTCGAGTGTCATAGCCAATAACTGACTCTTTCAGCATGGGAGGTTCATCAGTCATGGGAGAGCCATACCCAAGGTTGGCTTGCTCTTTGTGTAAAATTTTGGCACAGAAAACTTACCTGCAGTCTTTTAATACGGAAATTAGTGCAAAAACATCTACTGAGAACCCTTTGTATAGCAATAATGCTCAGTAATGTTTCTAGAGACATAATATTTACTTCTGCAGTAATGAAGAGAATACCGCTCTTTGAAAGATATATTCCTCATTGTGCACTTATTGAGCACCCATTGTGTTCCTGGAGCCTTATCAAGCTGATCTTACTTAAGAGTGATACCACTTTTTGCAATCCTTTATAAGGGTTGTTCCCTAAATAGATCTGTTGGGTGCACTCTAGCGTACACACCTCTTCCCCCCATGGACAAGGGCTTTTTCCTCTTCAGGTATTTAGAATCGCATGTACGCGGTTTTTGTGATCCACCTGTTTGCTGTTGACACAGGGAGAACTTTTCAGATCTTTTCCATCTGACGTGTAGTTTCTCTCTTTTGGCTTATGCTGTCTGCCCACTGGGCTTCCTACACAGCTCACCCACAGTAAAATGAGACCAGAGGCAAGGTATTGGCCTTTTCCTACTGAGAGATTGAAGAGAAAAAGCAACAGAAGTGTATCTGTTTAGATTTTTCTTCCACTTTCACATTTGATATAAAGTTCTATGTTTTAGTCTTTTCCTTCAATAATATACCTATCACATCTGCCAGTCAGTGTAATTTAGCAGGCAGTAAAGGTTATTAACCATCTATACTTCAAGGTTCTTTTTCAGGAATTCTGGACTTTATTATAAAGAGGGAAGAGAAGATTCCAGAACTTAGAAATATAAAATTTAATTGGGCAGACACAAAACATACACAAAAATCGCTAAAAAGACACTTTTATGCATCTCTGTATTGAGAAGTACAAATTACATAGATTATTTCTTTGTAATATTTTTCTTTTCCACAACCACTTAAGTTGTCCTCTTAGAGAGGTAGTGGTCATCTCCACACTGTTCTGAGATTCACATCTATCCCCTGCAGGCAGGGAAGTAACTGGTCATTGCTCCCCAAAGACCAGTGCCATCCTTTTTATCATGTATTTTCCTGAAGAGCCTCTATAAATTTCTCTCAATATCAGACAGGGATTTCATTATGTTATGTGGGGTTTTTTAAATTATTGTTATCCTAAAGAGCTGATTGTTTTCTAGGCTGGGTTTTTGGGGACTCCTCATCCCTCTATATTCCACCCCCTTGCTCTCAGTGTATTAGCTAGTGAAATGTAACTGCCAGGTCCTTCATTCACCCTGTCCCCTCCCGCTTAAGCGTCTGCACACCCCCCCGATAAAGACAGGTTCATCTGAAGCAGCGTTATTCATAACCAGACTTTTCCCTCCTCACCTCTTCAGATCTTGCATTGAGATTTGTAGCTTCACGCAGATGGTAGATGTGACTGATTAATGCAACCAATAATTAATATTGATGGGTTTATACATTTTTTCCTTCACTTTGAGCGGGTGCTCAGCATTTCGTTAGAGTGCACTGCTTTACCTCACTGCAGAGCGTGCAAGAAATGGATAGTAACACTTGCTCTGTCTTCTCCACTGGACTGTTACAAAAATCAAATGAAAAAGTCATTGTCCTTAAATACAGATCAAGTGCAAATATATTCCAATTAAAATGCAGTGAAAGTCTCTAAAAATTGTGAACATGCAAGGTGACATATTAAATGATGTTGGGATAGAGAAGCCCATGAGAGATGCATGTATCATAATCCAGTTTTCCCCACCTTATTAAACAGGGTACATCAGCTCAGGAGAACTTTCTTCAACTTGGGAGTATTTTTATGTTGCTAGCTTTATTGAGACACATATCATGCAATTCACCAAGTTAAGTTGTACAATTCAGCAGTTTTTAGTATATTCACAGGGTTGTGTAATCATCACAGTCAATTTTAGAACGCTCATGAATCCCCACAAAAGTTCCCAACTCATTAGCAGTCACTCTTCATTTGCCCCCAAAGCCCCCAGTCTTAAGCAACAACTAATCTAATTTTTGCCTCTATAGATGTGCCTATTATGGGCATTTCATGTAAATAGAATCATATAATAACCTGGGTTTTTTGTTTGGCTTCCTTTAATTAGCATAATGTTTTCAAGGTTCATTAATGTTATAGCATATATCAGAACTTCATCCGTTTATGGCCAAGAAGTATTTCGTTGTATGGATATACCACATTTTGTCCTTAACATCAGTGCATAGACATTTAGGTTGTTTCCAAGAAGTGGAATGGTGTTTTGTTGAAGTCCAAGTACTATTAGAATTATAGATTATTGAGCCAGATAGAGAGAAAAAATAATTTAGGAAAGAACACTGGAAGAACACAAAAATATCATCTCCAAAAAGACCTAAATAATTTTTTTGAGGCAGAACAAAACCTAGTGTGGAGGCAAGATCATTTATTTAAGGCAGAGCATTCTCTAACAAAACAAATGTAATCTCTTTAAAATCACATTTCAGATATGTGAGTTTAATGGTCGAAGGGTTACCTTTGTTCGGAGAGGGGTAAAGGAGTGTAGGCTTTGTTAAGGAGAATTTCAATTTCTTGGGGCAAAGAGGAGAACTATGTGACTTTTTAAATTTTACTTTATTTTGCATTGCCTTATTGCTTCTGTTATTTAAAAAAATTATATTGAGTTTAGTACATTTCTCTCAAATTTTAACCTTCTGCTGTCAGAATTTTCTTGAGGCTGTTGGAAACACAGAAGGACACCACTCAGAAATGAGTTTGAATGTGCCTTGTTTGCTTTTAACTCCTTTCAGAAACAAAGCCAGCCTGTGTATTCAACAACGTGGAATATAACGATGGGGATATGTTTCGAATGGACAACTGTCGGTTCTGTCGATGCCAAGGGGGTGTTTCCATCTGCTTCACTGCCCAGTGCGGAGAGCTGAACTGCGAGAGGTACTATGTGCCCGAAGGGGAGTGCTGCCCTGTGTGTGAAGGTAAGAAAAGGTGCTGATTAAAGATTAATAAGCATATACATGGCTCAGAGTTTTAATATCAAAATCCACCCAAAGCAGTCTCATCCAAAAATAGTGGAATATTGAAGAAGTTCCCTTTTTATGACATTCGTGATCCATCTTTTAGGACTTCGATAATGCTAGGAAGGCTGTGTGAAAACCTCTCCCCAAGGGAAGTTATGCCCTGGGTGTAGAAAGTGAGCCACCTGTTTACACAGGTCAACGTGAGAGTTCCTGCAAGTGATGTCGGTTACTCCCCTGTGGTTCTAGCAGTTCCTCAGTAAGTTCTGGGGAAGTTCCCTTCACCCTGACGTCAGAGTTCACCCCCTGCTTTCCTCAGATTGCTTGGCTAGAACAAGCCAGCCCTAATCACTGACCATCTCAGCCAGGCAGCTCAGAGAGGAGCTTGTCCTGCCTCCTTTCCACACCCAAACCCCTCTAGGGAGGATCAGGACTCGCTGCCCTCCCCACTCTGAAAACATGTGTTGGCAAGGGTGGGCTGTGTGGCATGGTGGTGACATATGGCCCAGCCAAGTGTCAGGTGTGGTCCTGGGTTGAAGGTTCTCAGCAGCCTGCTTTCTCTATATCCCCTCACCCCTCCAGGAACTAAGAGTTTCCTGTTCCTCCAACAGGCTTTATCCTCCCATCTCTGATATTTGTAAATAATAAACATTTCAGAATAATAATTCTGGATATCCATTCACTACAACGCACCCATTTTAAGGCTTAGGAAACGGGAGTTCAGAAAAGTAGAAGCAGGGCGCCTGGGTGGCTCAGATGGTTAAGCGTCTGCCTTCGGCTCAGGTCATGATCCCAGCATCCTGGGATCAAGTCCCGCATCGGGCTCCCTGCTCAGCGGGGAGCCTGCTTCTCCCTCTGCCTCTCTCTCTGTCTCTCATGAATAAATAAAAAAAAAAAAAGAAAAGTAGCAGCATTTGTCTGAGTTTATAATGAAACCAGGAATGATAACCCCACACCTGACTGTGTCTCTCCTGTGACCACATCACACTGGTTCCCCAGAAAGGAGGGTCATGTGAGCCTTCTTGGTCCTGACTGACTGGGTCACAGATTTTCTGTCTGGAATCAGACATGTCACTCTTGTGTCTGATGTTCACCCTGCCTTTATCTGCTCCCAGGAAACAGGAGGACAAAATGTCATGCCACGTTCCATACCTTTTTCTGTTTTCCTAAAATCCTGTTCAATGTCCGAGCTATATTTACCACATAATACTGAAGATCTGAAAATGTTTAAAGTATACAAACTACATTCCTGACATTAAACAACTATTTATAACAGGGAAATTCTTTCCCATGTTAGCAGTTATTTTAGCCAACATGGGAGAAAGGTGGTTCACTTTTTAGGTGTCGTTGGGGATTAATTTTTTTTAAAAATCACATCAAACTTTTAACCTTCCCAAAAGATGTGTTGCCTAGCTGGCCCCAGTTTGTAATAGTCGCTGAAACTATGTAGCAGTTGGTGGTGTAAAAACATAGATAGGAACCTCTGTGTAATAATCATAATGAGTTATCTGGGCATGGATCCGGTTATGTCTCACTTCCTGGAATTCAGATCCAGGCTCAGAGTAGAAATGAAGTATGCAGTGTAATATTTTTTATAAAGAAATTTACAAAGTCTTATCTAGCTCAGGTCTTTTGGCTGCTTCCATTTCTGGCGGACTGACTTTCTAAAGCTGTGACTGCATTATTTTAACTTTTGGCGTTCTGACTTTCTTATAATGCCATTACTTCTTTAGACTAGAGAGGACCAAACTCGTAACTGCCTGGACTTTCCTCCCAGCTCAGCAGCCCTTTTTGAAGCCAGATTTTATGTGTTTCTGAAAAAGAGTTTGAGTGGTTTCTCTGGTGGCTCTCATCATAATGGTAGTTGGGGATTTTGTATGCAGTATTTATGTCCTGGTCAGTAATGTCAGAAAACATTTTTTGTTGTTTACAGTAGCCTTGGCTACTTTTGATCCCCAGCTCACGGGGAGAAAAATGGCCTGGGTTCCCAGCCTTCCCTCCAGGGCACAAGCCCTGACCCACGGTATGTCTAGACCAGCCTTTGTCGTAAACAAAGCCACAGCCAAGTGCCTGCAGTACATCTCACCCGTGTCCACGTGCTGTCCACGTGGATCTCCAGGCACCCTGAGATAGAGTTCAGTTATCCAAGAAGCCACAGTATCCCTCTGAGTTGGATGGGGGGATTATTTTTCCACCTTATAGGTGGTGAAATTGAAGTATAATAAACATTAAAATTGACAACTCAGAAGACCTTGTCAAGAGCCTAAAATGGACCTGCATCTTGTAATTACCAGCCCACAACTCTGTCCACAGAGTTTTGCTACTTTATGAAGTGGTAACACCTGCCCGTTGGTTTTTATGCCACAGATCCCCTGCCCCGTCTGCAGGGTGAGGATGGGTGGACACAAATTCAGGATGACAGCTGCTTTTGCACGTCCCCCGGGAGACACTTGATGCAACCCGAGCTTCTGCTGATCACAGCTGGAAAAGAACTGCCGATGACCAGAACCTGGGAAAAAATGTCTCCAGGTGCAGGCAGAGCTAAGACTTAGAATGCCCTCCATCTTACTTGGAACTCACCTTTTTAATCTAGATCCAGTGTATCCTTTTAATAACCCTGCTGGCTGCTATGCCAATGGGCAGATCCGCGCCCACGGGGACCGGTGGCGGGAAGACGACTGCACGTTCTGCCAGTGCATCAACGGAGAGCCCCACTGCGTGGCAACGGCCTGCGGACAGAGCTGCATGAACCCCGTCAAAGTGCCTGGCGAGTGCTGCCCTGTGTGTGAAGGTAAGCCTTGTTGAGTCTAATGAGTCCCTGGCGAATGTCTCATGTTGGATAAGCTTCTACCAGTGTGTGCTTGTTTGTTTTTTATTTCCTCAGGCATAATGTCTGCTTCATGCTGTTACCAGTTGCAGATGAATTTATTATAGGGCCAAAACTAATCGTTTGGGGCAGATGTTGCAAATTTGCAATGAGAACCGTGTGATCTTTATTTTTACTGCCGCCAATATGCTTATCTCAATACTTTACGGTAGAAGAATATATACATTTCAGTTCCGTTCACTTCAAGCTTAATTAGCATCCAAAGGTCAATGCAGTGAAATAGAATGGGAAATAAGACCCTTGACTCAAGCGTGGCATGTTTATCATGTTTCCATGAGCCCAGGAGTCCTGATGGCTGGAGGAAAGCCTGCAACCATCAAAAGGCAGTTTGCTGTCCCCACTGCCTTCACTCAGCACCCCTTCTTCTGCTATCCTGAGGCTTTTCCTTAGGTCTTGGTTGCCTGCATTCACTACGTCTCTTCCTGTTCAATGGAGAGGAGCCCAAGGCTTCCTAGATTGGCCTTTCCCAAGCCCTATTCCAGCCCATTTCCCTCATCGTGGGAAGTTTCTTTGCACACTTAAGTCAGCCTTAATCCTCTGTGCCTGTTCGTACAGACGAGAGTGAATAGTTATACTGACAGATCCAATGGAGAGTATCCATTATTAAGAAGCACATTTGCATAGTAAAATGAACTACAGTGGATCATGTTGAAGATGGATCCTTCTAGAATTTTTTAAAACAGCTATTAAGGAACTGACAGGTCTTTGCAGAAATTCCATTGGCTGGGGGCGCCTGGGTGGCCTAGCTGGTTGAGTGGCTGACTCTGCATCTGGCTCTTGGTATCTCCTCAGATCATGATGTCAGGGTCCTTGGATCGACCCTGACGTTATGCTCAGCGCAGAGTCTGCTTGAGACTCTTTCTCCCTCTCGCTCTGCCGCTCCCCACTGCTCTCTCGCTCTCAAATAAATAAATAAAATCCTTAAAAAAAAAAAAAAAAGAAAATTCAGTTGACTAAATCCTGTATCAGGAGTCTTTTGCTTCTACCTAAAATTTTAAGAAACTCAGACTTCAGAGTTTGCCTGACTAGCTTCATTAACCTCTGAGGGCTTAGAACTCTAAAGAACTTAAAAATCATATAAAAATGTAAGCTGGAGGACTCTAGGTCTATTGACATCACCAGTTCCCTCACCATTACTCTGCTCACAGTGCAGCTGCCCACCTCCAAAGTTTATAGCTTCCAGAGGACCAGTTTTGTGGAAATCACCCATCCCTCACACGTGTACTCCTCCCATCCCCTAAAGGCAGTGCCTCAGCGCTGGAAAAAGGAGTGGACGGAAATACGTATGATGGTATACGGTCAGCTTTATGAGAAAGGGCGCCTTGCCGAAACAGAGGTGGAAGTATCGTTCCCTGAGAACTGGGGCCAGTCCGCTGTCAACTTGAAATCCTTACGTTCGCACATGTGCATGATAACTTCAAGAGAAATTTAAAGCCTACGTGTATTAACCATCAGACACTAATCCTTTAACTTCATGAGTCTTGAATTATAAATTGATAATAAGACGAAAGAGTAACAAGGCCTTCCCTCTGGCAGTACATGAAGGGAAGGCAAGCCCTTTTGCAGCACCAGCATATCATCACCACTGCTGTGATAGAGCAGGGAGACCGTCAGGGACGAGGAATGTGTGTGTGTGAGAGACAGACTGATGGATTCGTGCGTATCGTGTAGATGTTTGGATAGGGAGTGAATGTTAGTGTGATTACTTAGAGTTCAGTCTCACAGCATCTACGTGGAGTCATAATCTAATCTTCCACTGTTTGAGAAAGGAGTGATCGTTTTGGTCAGCTGTTAATTCCAAAAAATTTATTAAGCACTTCTGATTGTCCAAATACAGCACTGGACACAAAGATAACTAAGGGACAACTCCTTGTTAAAGTCAGAGAAAATACTTTAGGCTGTTTTAAATTAAACCAGGAGAAAAGGCATGCCCGTATTTAGGTACTGTGGGGTTAAGTGCTTTGTGTTTGTACCTGATGTTATTGAATCCTCTCGATAACGGTGCTGCAGGCTTCATCATCCCATTTAAAGATGAAAAAAGTAAGATTGAAAGAGACGAGGGTAATTTCCTCCAAGGTCAGTGGCCGTTAAGTAGCCATGATGGGATACACGGACGTCTTGTCAGATTCAGCTACGTTCTGTCTGTTTCCTGCGCTCCCAGATGTCGTCTGTTTGCTCATACCCCTATTTCCAGTTTCCTTATTCATCACTCTTCATCTCTGGCTCTTGGTCTTGCGGCGGGGAGTGGGACAGGAGCGGGGTGGCAGTTTGAGGAGGACTGATGCCTTTGAAGAGACCCATCACAGACTTCCTTCCCAAGCCTCGTGTCGGGACCGTCTCCTCACCAGAACTCAGCATCTTGATTTCAAGCTGTAAGCTTCTGCTGGTCTCTGTTCCCCTTCTCTCCTTCTTCATCCAGCCTTCAGCACAGTCCATTTTCTAGTCCTCAGAGAACTAGATTATCTTGAATTTCTTGTTTTTGCTCTTAAGTAGTGAGTTTCATATAAGATTGTGCTTGCTGTCCAGTAACTCCCGTTTTAAGACGTAATAGAAAGACAGAAAGATTCTTTTGGTATGGGATCAAAAAACAGTGCCCAGCTTAAGAGTGAATCCTAAAAGGTTACTTATTAATAATAATAAACTTATAAAATAATACAAGGCGAATGAATCTTATTGCTTAGTTTATAGGACCCAAGAAAGTCTCTGGAACTATTCGAAAATACTTTTTCAGCAGCATATTTAAGTAGAATTTCAGGTGACCTCAGAATAGCGAAAAGATTAGATGAAATAAGAAAAAAAGCAAGGTGCTAATGTGTAATAAATAATCAGCCGTGATTATTTGGAGAAAATCAGGAACACTGGTGTTTATGCAGTTTGTACACAGTAAATTCCTCTGCGCACAATTGCATAACAAATGCTGGCCCTCACCCTATTAGCTACAGTCCCAGGGTACATAGTCAGAGCCTGAAATGAGATGAAAGAGCCCACACAAAGATTGTGGTTTGAGATTCTTTCTAAATAAATTATGTATTACCAAATATGGCGTGTTAGGACCTGCAGGGACGACTGGTCACCTTGTTGTGACCACTGTTGTTCCTGGAGCTCCATATCCTTCCAAGTGACAGTACCGTGTGTTTGGTTACTCCTGGAGGACGGGACTGGAACCTGGGGCCCCTTCAAGACTTGGCTATTACTTGACAGCTAACTTGATTCACAAGTACCTAAGTGCTTTTTAAATTGGCACTTAAGTACTCTCATGATTGAGTCTTACCAAGTTATTGTCAACACCTAATTCAGGTATACAGATAAGCCATCCCATTTTATAAGTCTGTAACTGATTGTATTCTTGGGTTTTGTTCTGCTGGCTTTTCTCTTCATTTCTTCTTCTTCAATAGCATGATTTAAATTTTCTGGCCCTTTTTAAAGAGCTAGGTTGGAAAAGAATGGAATAGTATATAAAGTTTGCAATTTAAGTGTACAGATGGAAGATACGTCCTTATCTCCTTAAAAACTGAAAACAGAGAGGCGCCTGGGTGATGCAGTAGGTTGAACGTCCGACTCTTGGTTTCGGCTCAGGTCATGATCTCAGGGTCGTAGGATCGAGCCCCGCTTCAGGCTCCGTGCTTAGCATGGAGTCCGCTTGAGACGCTCTCTCTCTCTCCCTCTGCCCCTCCCACTCATGCTCTCTCTCTCTCTCTCTCTTAAATAAATAAATCTTAAAAAAAAAAAGCCTAAAAACAGAAAAGGAAGGCAGCAGAATGAGGTCTTCCTCGGCATCTAGTACTATTTGTATCATCTCATTTGTAGCCCTTAATGACAGTAGCTAACGTTTCTTGCACACTGACTGAGCCGGCCTGAGCGCTTTAAGACCAGCAGCTCATTTGATGCTCACAACTCTCCTCTGGTAGCACCATCTTAATTCATCATCAAAGAACCCAAAGCTTAGAGGTCATGGAACTTGCCCAGGGTCATACAGCTCAAAAATGCGGAGCAGTGGTTCCCGGAGCCTTGGCTCTGGACCCTGCAAGTGTACTGCACTCCAGGTTTACCAGTAGCCTGAACGAGGCTTCTCCCCCATGAGCTAGGAACTTACCATATACTTTTGAATCCATAAAGCAGCACCTGACGCGGAAGAAGTTGTTAATGAATAAATGATGAGCGAGTAAGTTAGGGAGCGAGGGAAAGCCTGGAATAGGAAATCGAGCAGTCTCCTCTTACAGATCTCCGTCTTAGCTGAGTGAAGTGGCGTTCCCTGATAAAGATTTCCCTAACCAGAGTCTCAAATGCTGACCCTGATCAGATGAAGAAGGAATAATGTTAGAATGCTTATATTTGAAAACACACTCTGAGAATAGCAAGCAGAGTGTTAGATGGAGTGTGTTTGGCACACGGTGGGCCCAGATGTTTACAGGCGAGTTGGGCCAATTAGCTTCAAGTACCGCTCAGCCTCCTGATGAGCACTGAGCTCTCGACTCCTTCGCAGGGCAGCCACGGGGCCCTCCAAGACTGGTTTGTAAACTGTGGCTTATTCTCTCTGCAGTTCAGCCCCTGTGTCCAGAATCGCAGAGTTTAAGTGGGGCTTCCGCAGACCCTGCAAGGCTAATGCCTGCTGTCAAACTAATGTACTGCTTTTAAGACCTTTCAGCAAGTATATAGGTGCTGCAACCTTGTCATTTCAGCTAGAATTTTTTTTAATGTCACAATTCAGTATTGAAAATACTTGAATTTTTTCCCAATAACATCAGATATAAATGCTGCCTATGCTGATTCTTAATGTCAGAGAGACCCTAAGGACACAGTACTACCTTCTATTAAAAAAAAAAAAATCCGTTGTATAATTAAAGGTAAGATAAGGTGTAGGGGAGGGAAATTTTGGCTCTGAGGTGGCTATGACACGCCCTGGATGACTCAATAAGAAAAATGCAAGAAATGTGAACAGGTATGAGGCCAGCTTGGCTGCTACGCCTGATGCAAGAGATAAGAATTTCATCGTCACTTCGAAGTCTTGATGTCAAGCCTGCTCATCTTGGGCTGTGGCTGGACCCCACCCAGGTGGCCGCTGTGACCTGAGTGTTCATCAGGCCCAGTGTGTACAGTCTCCTACCGGGAGGATTTGTTTGTCTGATGACCTGGGGGATTTCGGAGCCAACACCAGGAGTATCACCTATCAAAAATTAGGAACCACATGGGTGATATTTTATAAGGTAATATTCAGCATCACGACTTAGGTTGCCAGTAAGTAAATTCCATGTTTGTGGCTGGGCAACTGGCTAGTTTCTTTCTACGAGTTCTGTTTCTCTGAAACAAAAGCAAATCTGTTTCCCATCTCAGACAGGAAATCAAAGAGTTATTTGTAGCTTATCAAAGCTAGATAATGGGTATATAAAGGTCTGTCATATTATTCTATCTACTTCGGTATTTTTTTTTAATTTCCATAATAAAAACTTAAAATGTGTGCTATTCACAGAGTTATTATGTGAAACTGAACGGAGTTTCAGACCAGTCTAATAATTCTGCTAACCTGGAGTAAACCAGCTCTTCCCTGTGCATTGATTCTTCCTAATTCTGTGGACTTTAGGATAGAATGTGATTGAACCAGACAATCAACCATCTTTCTTCCCGGCATCTTGCCTTCTTGGATCTCTTACTTGGGTAATCCTGGTCCTACTTGGGACAGTGTTGAAGAGCATGAGGCTTTTCTTGATCTGTGTGACTTGATTCAGCCACTTCACCATCAGCTCACGGAGTAGAGTACGTGCTGAGTACCTCTGGAGGGCTGGAAACAGCTGTCAAACATACTGTCCTCCTCCTCAGTCCTCCTAGGAACACCCTATTCTTTCCCATAAATGCCGATGATATCGTTTGAATCAAGCTGCCCCTCAAATGAAATTTCTACTAGGCTGCCAGAAAAGTCTGTACCAGGCACATATCTGGGTGGGAATTCCTTAAAACAAGAAAAAATGTTTTCAGCCCTGCCCATAATACTTCCTCACTGAACAGTATCTCAAATGATTAAGCTACTGCTTCTGTGGCAAGGAGTCAAACATAGTTTGGCTGACCCAAGAGGCAGAGAAGTCAAAGATGCCGCAGGGTCACATGATATCAACATTCTGGTACATCAAACAGGGATCAAAAATCAGTTTATGGATGGTATTGTTTCAGTGCCATCTACAGTGCTATTATTAGTCAGCCAAGAATAATAAAATACTCGTAATATCTCAAAGACTGTTAGGCATGCTGTTTCATCCTTTAACTCTAAGTGTCCTGGAAACCCGTTCCATAAATGGGAATTAAAATATAGCACGGTCTGTTTTTTAGCTTGTCCAAATAAGGTCCTATGTTGGGGTAACAAACGCATAGCAGAGGACTGTGTGTTAACTTAGGTAGGTATTTAACCTAAAGCATCAAAAATTTTTCTTGGATGAATTTCAT